CCCTAAACCCTAAACCCTAAACCCTAAACCCTAAACCCTAAACCCTAAACCCTAAACCCTAAACCCTAAACCCTAAACCCTAAACCCTAAACCCTAAACCCTAAACCCTAAACCCTAAAACCCTAAAACCCTAAAACCCTAAAACCCTAAAACCCTAAAACCCTAAAACCCTAAAACCCTAAAACCCTAAAACCCTAAAAAGACCTTCTTAACGCCCATGAGAAGCTGGATCCGAATATGCAACTTTCAACCTCAATACCCTAAAACCCTCACCTTATGTGGAGCGGTTTATTGATCGATCAAGTGACGTGCATTCTGCAATCATTTTGTGCTTTGCTATTTATTTGACAATATTTCCATGCATGATTTAATGTTTTGATATGAAGTACATATGCATGCCAGAAACATTCAGCTTGTTTATACTTAATTATGATCCGTAGTGGCAGCACGAACCATGCAGGCTAGCCTGCTAGATCTTCAATCCGTGATATGTGAGGCCGTTGTTGTACGTTCTAGCTCTGGCAAGCCTTCTTCAAGCTTAACGATTCCTAGCTCTCCGCGAGTGGTACATCGTACAGGCATGAAACTCAGTTTTAGAGATTCTTTCAAAAGCTTTTCATGAAGTACGTAACGATAGGATAGTGCGCAGCTTGGTTGCGGGCCCCATGGTTAACTAATGGACTCAGCATGATTGAATGATCTTCACATCGCGCGGCTCGCCCATGCAATTGTGTGCAAAGTTGGCGGCAAGAATGAAATTAACTTTGCAATTGCATGCCATGCGGATCGGTATACGTACCAACTTATGGCGCATCGGTATACCGTCGTTCCAACTTACTGCGCCACAGGCCACGCTTTGCATGTCGATCAGTGCCACATGCAATATTTCGGCTAGTGCTCAAGCATCTAATAAGTTAGACGGTTCTAGCTTGCATGTGACGGACGGTCTGTACGGTATACATTTCTGCGAAAGCGCCGCGCCGCCGTGGCCCTAGAACTCGATCCAGCGCCCCATCGAGCGCGCGGCCCCCGCGCCGCCCCCGGCGATTTAGTACATGCCAATCTCTTTTTCCGGGCCCGGGGCTGACTGTAGCTATTGGGGGGCCCGTGCGACATGCCACATGCAGAGCTCGATGCAGCAAGTCTACGCCAGAACTTAAAAACATCAATTATTACATATTGAATTGTTCTATATAAGCAAACCATTGATCGAATCGACGTGCTCGATCATTTTGCATGCTAAAGGCGGCGCACTGCCCTCTTCATTCTATACCTGTGATGAATGAATTGTTGCCAGGCTAGAATAGTAGGTACTCGATCCGGCCCGTGTCATGTAATTTGGCAGGGAAAGTAACCTGCAATGATTCGATCATACTTCCTCAAAAATTGAACAGTGATTCATTGAATTGTGTGCCACGGAAGCCTATAGGGTCACTGCCATGTCACTGTGGCTACGGCCCGTTCGAAATGAAGAGATTATCAGGGTACATGTGACCGGCTCCTTCAATGAACGACTGGACGGTACTAATTTGCCGCCCGCTCAACGAAGTTTGAGTCAAAAGTCATGGTCATGCAAGATCGGACCAGAGCGACAATTCAGACCATCCTTCAAGTTTAGCAAATGTGTCACGGGGTCTCTTAGGGCAAGACCAAGTTCACCGACGAGACTCACATCGCTCCTTGAGAAAGCGGGTAAAACTATTAGATCTCTTTGTACACGGCTTTGTCTAATGGACTCGATTCAGTTTTGATTGAGTCATTATTTCTTGCATATCCAAAGTAAGGAGACCGCTTCTTCAATCATCAGCGCCTTCACAGCCTTGATAAGGAGCATAAGCCAAAAGTCAGACTTGAACAACCGATGGAGGGGACTTCTCATACAACCGGATTAGTCTGCAGCACACGCTACTATGCATGACCGCATTTCTTGAGACAGCGCACCCCTTCCTCCTCGTACTCCTGCTTGCTGATCCAGAACTCGGGCTTGTCCTTCATGATGTCCGCGAGTACTGCCCCTCCCAAGAACACCATGTGGCGCCGCCGGGGAGGGTCCTCGATCCTCAACCGGAACTTTTTGAGGGCTTCCGTGTTTCCTTTCAGGACGTGCTGCAATCAGGAACAATGTACTGGGTCAGCGAATGTAGCCTGCTGATGGTGGAGCAGCAGATCATGAGCCGCAATCAACGGCTCTTCAAATCATAGACAGAAAGCATCCTTGTCCAGAAAAGGCCGGTTAGCGGCCTGAGACGCCTTGTGCCGGTGCGTCGTTTCCGCCCTCCCCCGCGGCTGTTGGTGGGCGGTACCTGGAGGTAGCGCGCGCGCAGGTCGGCCTCGAGGCGGGAGGGCAGGCCGGGGTACATGGAGGAGCCGCCGGAGAGCACGATGTGCTGGTAGAGCGGCATGCGGTTGTCGATGTCCATCTCCTGGATGCAGCGAAACACCAGCCCCGACAGGCCCTCGCCCTCGCAGTCCACCAGCTCCGGCCGGAACAGCGCCTCCGCCGCCTGGAACCGCTCCGCGCCCACCGAGATCACGCGCCCGTCCGGCAGCTGCGAGCAGACGCGGGGCGTTTCTCAAAGGTGCCAGTCAAGGAAGTGCTTCACGCGTAGTCTCAAGGACAGCGATGCTCAACAGCTGCGGTTATCCACGTCTCATCTTCAACTTTCACTGAGCGGGCACCCATGAGACAACCAAGACGAGACTGTTCCCACTGCAAGGTAGGTATGGCCCACGCAGGGCTGTCTGGGGGCCTCACGGTGTAGTTCTTGACCAGGATGGTCGTCTCCTGCGCCAGCCGCATCTCGCGCGCGTAGTCCGCACTGCAGCGCCAGGCACACCCACACCACGAGTCAGGCCCAGCAGCGTCCTCCGCAGCAGGCTTCAGCACCGCAGCAGGAAAGGCCGTACAGTCACAGGCCCCACCGGACAATACACCGGGCAGGGGGCCCCACGGATCCGGCCTGCCACAGTGGGGCACTTCGCCCTGGCTTCCTGGAACCATGCAGCAGTGCAGGGCTGGGCGGGCGCGAGGGACTCACCTGACGTAGCAAAGCTGCTCTTTGATCTCGCGCACCGTCTCAAAATCGGCGGTGCGGTTGAAGGCATACCTGCCGAACAGGAAGAGTGACCCGTCAGGCCTGCCGCAGTGCATCGTCTAGTGTTCCCCATTCGACTTGCAAGAACACGGACATCGATTGCCCCAGCACAGCCAGTGCGATCTCACTGCCACATGCAAGCATGCCCACGCGGTGCGCGGGCGGGCGGGCTGTGCTGCTGGGGCAGGGCAGGGTGCTGACCCGCGGCGGGAGAGGAGGTCGATGAGGTGCGCCGTGATGTGGCGGCCGGCGACGTTCATCCGCTTGGTCAGGTGCGGGAATGCAAAGCCGTCCACCACCGGCACCTGCAGCGACGCGCGCAGTCAGGGCACGGCGCAAGGGGGGCGCGCAACAGGGGGACGTGCCAGGCAGTACACACGCAGACCAGCACGGGGCAAGAGCCTGCACTTGGCACATCCTGCCACATTAGCGGTCCTTTTGTTCTTTCTGACCGGGGAGCAACGGCGGGGGCCCTCACCACGTGCGTGACCCCATCCCCGGAGTCCACCACCAGCCCCGTGAGCAGGCCTGCACAGCCAAGAGCGCACCGCCTCAGGTGGCCATGGGCGGGGGCGCAGTGCGGTCACAGCAGAGCAGCAGGGAAGAAAGCGCGACGTCAGGCGACAACTGAAGGCAGACAAGGGGGCAGCATGCACCGGAGCCAGCGCAAGGAGGAAGGGGCCTGCCCGCCCTGGTGGCAGCGATGGGGGCGAGGAGTGTTACCCTGGGCGTAGAGCGTGAGGACGGCCTGGATCTGGATGAAGGCGCCAGCGAAGCCATACTTCTCAAACATGGTCTCTATCTGCAGCAACATGTGACCAAAGGGCACACTCTCAGTCAGTCCCACCAGGGCCGTCAGAATCTGGTGGCCAGGCAGGGGCAAGAACCCAGATCTCTATACGATTGCATTAAAGAAGCGAATGCTTGTAATGCTTCTCGGTCAGACTACACACAACATTCCGGCTAGAAATTTCCCGGGCTGGCCCGCAGCAGGGGCGCGCTCACCATCTTCTCGCGGTTCTTGCTGGGGTTGAGGGGCGGGTCGGTGAGCAGGATGCGGCACTCGGAGGGGTCGATGCGCAGCTTGTCGTAGAAGGTGTGGTCCCAGATGTGGCCCATGTCCTCCCAGCTCTGCACAATGCCGTTCTGCACCGGGTAGCTCACCTCCAGCTGGGCACGCAGCGCGCTCGCACGCGCGCCCACCACCACGTCCTGCACCACCGCCGCACTGCGGCTCAGAAGAGGGGTGGAGCAGCGCATATGCCAGGGAGCTAGGAATAGCTGCGGCAGAGCTCCAATGGGCATTGGGACTGCTCCCAAAGAAGCATGAGCTTCAAGAGAATTGTGCCCACCATTCCTGGTCACAACCAAGATTACTAGGAAAGACTTTGGGGCGAAGCGCCTCACCTCGAGGGCCTCTTGCCCCTGGGCTTCCTCATACCGCAGGATGGGGCGCCCCACCACACAAGGGAAGACAGCGCTGGGGAAGTTGTTGCCCGCAAAGCCACATTTGACGAACTGCAAAGGAGGCGGGCGCAAACATTTGTGACCACGTGTGAAGGTATGACTGGCATTTAACACTCCACCTGCAAAAGTTCTGGAACTTCACGGTTCTTCAATCAAAGAAGCCCCAACTACAGGGGCCTTTGGGGAACAGTTTGCTGGACAAAGAAGTGCACGAGGGCCACTGATTTACCGACATGATTCCACGTGCTCTTTAAAGAGGCCTCCGCATGATTGAAGTTTTACCCCATGTCTTCCAGGTGCAGTATGAGCGTTGCCCCCAGTCATTTCACAATGAAGGACAACATCTCGTAGCCCCGCTGTTTTGGGTGTGCTCACCCCGGTGCCATTGTCACACACCACCACCTTGTTGCGCTCCGCCATGCCCCCTGCCAGTGGCCAGGGGCGGCAGCAGCAGGCAATCGCACAGCACTGCAGACAGCGGGGAAGGATTTCTAGAACTTTTGGTAACAAGCTGACATGTCCACAAAGAGGTTCCCTGTTTTATCGGCCTGCATGCATTCTAGTGCGAACACGGCCATTTGTTACAAGCACGTGATAAGAGCAAGACGAATGGGTACGTCAAGGCACACCTTGTCAACGGAGTTTGTCCTGTGGGCAGGGATCCCCTCAGAGCTGCCCCGCCCCAGCACGAAGGTTGAGTCTTTCAATGTCGCCTCCCTACTCAGCAGGCACAAATTCCAGAGTCCTTCTGTTGGTGCTTGGCATCGCCAACTATGAACCGCTCACATTATCCACCAAGAGACATTTTGATGGCGCACCCGACGCTTGTGCGATTGTATCATGTACACTTGCCAGAGGAGATGGTCAATGCTTATTATTGCACAAACAAGTTGACTCCTCTGCATCAATAGGCCAACTGGCTTCGGGGCTGGCTGAATGCCACACTAGCTTCCTTTTAAAACCTCTTCCAGCTAGGGCGCCAAGCCGTCCCTGTTTTCTGAGGTACGAGCCACCACTGGCTCCAGAGTCCAATGTATGGGAATTCCCTTCTTCACGAATTTTCGGCGACCGCCAGCACCTGCGAAGCTCTCAGTATATCCACAGGTGATTGATCTCTGTCGCCCCAAAGTTCTACATTTGCAGCGCTTTCTTCCAGTCGAGTCGTCAGTCCAAAGATCAGACCCCAATTGAATCGAGAGCGCTCCCAGTTGCTGCTGCTCCTCTGGCCCGATGGTGTGCTCTCAGGTCGTCTCCCCTTCTGTTCTCTGCTCTTTGGGGCATTCATTGTACCACCCCACTCCTGGCTGTGCACGTGTTGCCCCTGCGGCCTGCCCTAGTTTCCCAAATGCATTTTTAGGGGTGCTCACATGGCAGGGTCTGGACCCCCACCGACTGCAGCTTGGGCCGGGGGGGCCCTTGGGCGGCAGTGCCATGCGGCATGAGCGGATGGGGCCTCCAGGGTGCTCACAGCGATCGGTGCGGGCAGAGGCTGGAGCGGGGGCAGCGGACATGCCGGCCGAGGGCGGAGGAGCCAGTCCTTTGAAGGCGGTGGCCAGTCCGAGCGGAGCTGCGCCCGCCGTGGAGGCTGGCAGCAGGGCCGGGAAGCGGGGGCGCGGGGGGGCGCGGTCCAAGGAGAAGCGACGGTTGGTGCTGCTGCGGCACGCCAAGAGCTCCTTTGCGGACCTTACCTTGCGAGGTAGGGGCTGCAGCAATCGTTGAATGCAGAAGGTCCTCGCTCAGGGAGGCATGCAATGCAGGCACTGCGCACTGTGTTCTTGACGCTGCTGTGCAATCAGAGGGATCAGTTTGTCGTGCATGCTCTTTGTGGTCCCTGTATCGTTGTGTCTGCATGACTTATCCGTGCTGCGGCTGCTCGTGTGTGCCTGTCCAGACCACGAGCGGCCGCTGGACGAGGCAGGTCGGGCATCTGCGCGCGAAGTGGCGGCGAAGCTGAAGACTGCGGGCTGGCTGCCCAAGCTGGTGCTCTGCAGGTGCGCACTTACTGCCAGTGTAGTGCTGTCACAACTGTGTCCCACACACCCGTCTCCTGTGTTTGTGACGGGACTGCCGGTGACTCTGCTCTAGACGGCTGCAATGCCACTTTTAGTCAAATGTCGAGTGGCGCATGAGCAAGCTGGATTGGAATTGAAAACGTGTTGACAGCATGCAGCCCCCGGCTTCTTGGTTGTGGACCTACTGATGCTGCCTGTCTGGTTTGGAATGCAGTGACAGCCTGCGCACGCGCGAGACGCTGGCGGTGATGCAGAGCGAGGTGGGCGAGCTGGCAGAGGCGGAGACGCGCTTCTTGGGCAGCTACTACACCAAGAGCCAGCTGGACGGCCAGACCGCGCAGCACCTGCGCGAGACCATCTGCAAGTACGCCGCCGACGCGCTTGCCACCGTCATGTGAGCACCCCTGACACCCCCATTGCTGGCCGGCCAGGCCACTGGCGGCACCAGCTTTGCTTGTGGCTTTTTGAGGGGGGGCGGGCAGTGTGGCAAAACGGACAAAGTAACCGAACTTTTTCCGAACCGTATGACTGTCGACGCCAGAGCCACCAGCAATACGAGCAACCGAGTGACTTTTGGTGGGGTTAGGTCGGGGGGTTAGGGTGGGTGGGGGTAGGTTGCCGGTGGAACGCCTTAGGGTGTGGGTTAGGTCTCGCGTCAATGTAGCTTAGGTTTTAGTGTTTGCTGGCATTCCCGGGAGCTAATTTGCCTGGGGGGATATACGTACCGTGAAGTATGTACCATCTAGCGCATTGAGCGTGCGAAGTTTCCCGCGGTAACTACCGCGTGCGCCGACGTTTCATCGTTTCGGAAAAAGTTCGGCTACTATGTGCCTCTTGCGGCAGTGTGCCCCCTGCCAGATCCTGTCCAGCTTGGGGGCATCAGCTGTAGCCTATATCATTTCCTTGCTTCCCAGTGTGGGGTCTCTCAAGTAGTGTCAGAAAAGTTGCTGCTTCGGAACTTTTGCGTCGCCCATCTCTCCCTGCTATGCACAGACAACGTGCCTGCCGTTACATGACGGCTTGGGCTGACAGCCGGCTGCGTGCGCAGGTGTATGGGCCACAACCGGGGGTGGGAAGAGGCTGCCAGTGACTTCACGGGGCTGCAGCTCGAGTTGAAGACCGCAAACGCTGCACTGCTAGAAACGACAGGGGACTCGTGGGAGGATGTAAGCCCCTCGAGTCCTTGTGTTGGTCCTGGCAGAAGCCACACTCCCAGGCCACTTGGTGTGCTAGGGTGCGAAGTTGGTCGTCATTTTCTCAGAGGCTACTTGTGGCGGACCAACAAGACGTCTTCTTTGCTGGTTTGACCCAGGTCTGCTTGTGTGGATGCAGGCTTTCGAACACGCCCACAAAGGCGGCTGGAAACTGTGCGGCCTGCTCACACCGGACCCCGCAGGGTAGCCAGCTCAGCCAGGACCGGCGGGCCAAACGTTGGGAGGTCAATGCCTTGTGTGGCGCATGTGGTCACAAAGGCAAGTGGCTGGTTTATTGAGTTGCTCCATAAGATTTTCTGCAACTGTATATAACTATTCCAGATGCACGAGGGGCATAGGCGTGCTTCGATTAAGCAAGGTGCGTTTCTCATTGCCAAGGAGGTCCACTAAAGTGGGGACTGTTGGTTTTGCAATCTTTTGGCATGTCAATCTGCATACATCTTTGTTTTTGCCAAAGTCGCAATACTGATCTTAAAAGATGTTCGGGGGACGATTGGACTCCTTTGCATACACCGTCCAACATTTTCAATCAACAATGATGCGCTCTCTGAAAAATCGTGGAAAAACTCGAGCAGAGCAAGTTAAAATCTGCGGTCTGGCAGATTACCAACCAATGGAGTCAGGATACCCCTGTGAAAGATAAAGCTATGGTCACGTTGAATTATCCATACATGCGGCACCATGAGCATGCAGTGCTGATTAAGCCACCATGCGTTCTGTATAAAGGGGTGCCGGGCTGCCCAGAGCACATGCAGTGCGTATTGGCGGATCAAGCAACCGACCGTAGGCCAGTAAAATTGAACTTGACTCAAAAATCGAAACTTGTTGGAAATTGGATCGATCGATGGCGAGCGACCACTGACGAGAACGGGTAGAGGCATGCAACTTTTGAGTGTACATATACTTAAGAATGACTCATCCGCATCGAATGCATGTGGGGCACTATAATTATGTTAACACATGTATATTGAATTGTGAATTAATATAATGTACACTCCAATCCTACGCGTACGTCGCGTATACGTCCATACAGTACGTGACCGTACTAAGCTATATCGTAAATTAAAAACATGCAGATTGCATGCATGCGCTTATATGATTAGCGCTTTAAGCATATATGTGCATGTACGTGCATCCCGGCCAAAGGTTTGCACGCGTATATATTGCATGCATGACGTGAAGTCATCCGCGCACCACGCGACGGTTATAGTATACGATGGTCACCTATAGTAATGATACATTGTTGCTTTTGATTTCAACCAGAGCGCGCGGCTGATGCATTGAGGTACGCTCACCGCGGCGCACAGCTCAGCCTACGAAGGCAAGTCTACTAAGTGAGTGGCTGTGGCGGTGGCGACTCGATCACACGTACTGAGAACTGAGTGGACAGCGGTAGCTTAAGTTAGCAAGGATCCCACCCTGTCAAGCTCCTAGCTGGAAACGAAACCATCTTACGACTAAGTTCGACGTTCGTCTTGACTTGATTGCGAGCTAACGGGGGCAGACCCTGTGAAATTCGCAGGGATACCGCTGCATCGTCAACTCGCCAGAGCTGTATGTCTGTATTCAACATAGTCTAGTATAAGGATCCGAACGTCTAGCCTAGAGATGTTCCAGTCCAACGTTAATGCATTGACTTTGATTGATTTGAAGGGACACTGAATCAATGCCCCGTTCAGAACTTGGACAAGAAAGCAATGCGCCCTCTTCTATTTGTGATCTCAGCTAGTCTTTACACCTGCATATCCCTACCCCTTACATTGAGGCGTATAACTACAATAGCTCATCCTTTTCAGGTGTGCGGGACACGTCGCTTGTCCCGCCTCTAAAATTCGCAGTTTGGAGAAACTTCGCAACAGGCAGCTCCCCAGACCTTTCGAGTTATTGTACATAATATTAGCCGGCCTTCCCTTCGTTTGCCCTCCAGTCGCTCCTTTGTGCCCCCTGATCTCGCGGTGCCCTTGTGAGCGGCAGCAGCCGTTGAGTGTCAGACGTTGTGCACGCTGGTGATGGGCGAGCGCGGCGACGTGGGCGAGCTGAAGGGCACCAGCACCGGGATCAGGTTCGCCTTGCGCCACCGCTGCGACACCTGCCAGCCAGCCACACACAACAGAGAGGGGCCGTCAGGGACACCGCTGACAGACATTGGAGGGCAGCGCGACTGAGGCCACGTGGGGAACAAAGAGCACCTCCAATCGAACCTCGGCCGTGATCTCTGGTGAATCGTCATCCTAGCGCCAGCAGCAGCGGGCTTGCATGAGCCCGCGAGTGCGGGTGCCGGGAGCCGCACCTTGGCGAGGGTGAAGATGCCGAGCGCGAGCACGGTGATGCCCATGCCCAGACTGATGTAGAATGCCACCCCACCCACGCCGGCCTGCAGCGCCACACACAAATTGCGTGTCAGAAGACGGACCAGCCTGCAGACCAGCTCTTGCCGACATGCTGTGCAAGCAGGAGAAACGGACTCCCAGCCGGATGGGGACCTGACGATGCTGTCACATCAACAGACGCATCGCGCATGGTCGAGCCCTGCGACACACTGAGCTTTGGCGGATGCAAAGGCCGTTTGCTTCTGTGTGCAAACTAGCAGAGCATGGCGGGTGTGGTGCGGCGCTGACCTGGTCCTGCGAGTAGGCAAAGAGGTAGAAGAGCGCAACCATGGCGGCCAGCGTAACTAGGATGGTGGCAAACTCGGCGTAGAAGCCCAGGGAGGCGCAGCTGCAGAGCGCGTCCAGCGTGAGGTTGAGGCGCTCGCGCACGTGCAGGCGGTACGGCGCCTTGCACACCTCGCAGCTCAGCGCGGCCGCGTCCGGGACAGCAGGGTCCGCGCGCCGCCGCTCCAGCCACTGCTGCAGGCACCGCAGGTGCACGCGCGCCATGCTGCCGCCGCACAGGCACGGCCTGGGGGGGGAGAGAACGCAGAGAACGGGTCGGGGGGGGTACGGGAGAGAACGGGGCAAGGACTGGCATACTGATAAGAACCAACAGGCGATTGGTGTCAGAATGTTGACCGAATTCCTCATAAAGTTCCTACTTTGAGGCCCATGGATAACGTCCAAAAGAAGAATTCGAATAGCAAGAAACGCTTCATATTATAGGAGAGCTCGTTCTGATGCTCGTTTTGGACTTCTCGCGCACCTGATCATCCGCTCCCCGCCCTCCCTCCCCTCCTTGCATATCCTGCACTCCTCCATCTCTATGCTCCCCTGCCGACTGAGCGACGTCCTCTTGGTGGGGCTGCCCACCCCCCCCAGGCCTCCCCCCGCTGTCATGGGGGCCATGCTGGGCGCGCCTTGCCACCCCTGGCCAGTGCCGCCATGGCCGTCGCTGGCGCGGTGCGTGCGGATGGGCCGCAGGAGGGGCTGCTGCAGCACGAGCTCCCCCGCGGAGGGGGTGTGGCCGCGCAGCGCCCCGCTGAAGGTGACCGCGCGCGCAAGCGCCCCCGCCTTGGGGAGGCCCTCCTCCAGGCTGGCCTCGCTCGGCCAGTCAGGGCCCACCGTGTGGGCGTGCGCTATGCGGGGGGGCTCCAGCCGCCCACCTCCGCTGGCCATCTGTAAGGCAGGCAGGAAGGGGTGGGGGAGTCAGGCAGAGAGGGGCGGTGGGAAGGGAGAATGGGCGGGTGCCTGGGGCGGGCCATCAATGGCCTCCTTAAGGTGCGCAGCGCGGAGGCCTGTTGGCAGAAGGCCTGCCATCTTGAGAGAATTT